TAAGGGTTCTACAGGTCGGCATAAGGCCCCAAACGTGGAAACTAGCCCAAAACATAATGATAACAATAAGTCTCAGTCAAATAAGTAGTAATTTCATCAATCGGGACGGACCAAGCCACAATCCCTAATGGTGCTCTACCCCACTCTCGCTATCCGGCGTGCAAGTCACCTCAATATAGCACTACGATGTGCAATCCGGGGTTTCAAACCCTCAGGACATCATTTAACATCATTACTCACCTCAAACCGGCTAAAGCTCTAGCTCGCTATGCCCTTGCCTCTCAAATCGGCCTCCTTGCGCGTCGAATCTGACCAAAACCATAACGAATACGTCACAATATGCTAAGGGAACAAAACCCAATCGAAAATAACCGAAAAACATCAAAAATCCCGAAATTGGCAAAACCCGAGCCCCGGGCCCACTTCTAGAAACTCAGAAATTTTTACATCAACGGGTTCCTTATCTCGTCATGAGTCTATACATATCAAGAACTCTCAAATCCGAGCTCAAATGGCCCTTCAAATCCCAATTTAAAAATCTCAAAATCCCAAGCCCTAGTTCTTCCAATTTTAGCCAAGTTTCCATGAATTTCAAGGTTAATTTCACATAATAATCACGTTTTTAGCTCATAGGACTTACCTCCAATCAATCCTCTTCGAAACCCTCTTCAATTTCTCCCAAATAGCTCTCAAAATGTCCAACAATGGAGGAAAATATGACCTAGCTCGCGGAGGAAATGTTTTAAAACATTCTGCCCAGGTCCTGTAGCCCCTTCATCGCGATCGCGACCTCAGCCCGCGATCGCAAAGCACCCTTTTATTTTTCTCAGAAATTACCCTACGTGAACGTGAGTCCTCCCCCGCGAACGCGATGCTCTGACTCCTCAAGCTACGCGAACGCGAAGAACACTTGCCTTAGGACTTTCAAACCTTATACGCGAACGCGACCTGTCTTCTGCGAACGCGAAGCACAAGCAGCTCCCACTCCGCGAACGCGATCCCTCAGTCGCGAACGCGATGCACAAACTCAGATCTGCCCAAACCCTTCTATGTGATCGCGATCCTACCCACGCGATCGCAATGACCAAAATCCTCTGCAACAGCTGCAGAATTTTCTGCAACATTTTCCAAGTTTAAAACTTCCCGTTAGCCATCCGAAATCACCCCGAGGCCCCCGGGACCTCAACCAAAAGCACCAACACATCCTAAAACATCCTCCAAACTTGTTCCAATCATCAAAACACCTCAAACAACATTACAACCATCAATTCACATCGAATTCAAGCCTAAGTTCTTCTAAAACTTCCGAAACATGCATTTGATCAAAAACCCAACCAAAACACCTCTGAATGACCTGAAATTTTGCACACACATCCAAAATCACATAACGAAGCTACAGCAAATCTCGGTATTCCATTCCGACCCTCGGATCAAAATCTCACCTATCAACCGGAATTTGCCAAAATACTAACTTCGCCAATTCAAGCCTAATTCTACACCGGACCTCCAAAACCACTTCCGATCACACTCCTAAATCACAAATCATCCCTCGAAGCTAACCGAATCATCAGAAATCATATCCGATCCCTTTAACACATAAGTCAATATCCGGTTGACTTTTCCAAACTAAGCCTTCCTTAAAGAGACTGGGTGTCTCATTTCTTACCAAAACTTCTCCAAACCAACTCGATCACACAAGACACAGATAATGAAGCATACAGAAGCAGAAAATGGGGGAAACGGGGCGGTAACTCATGAGACGACGGGTCGGGTCGTCACAACATGTGGACTACACGAAATACAAACTCTTTTGAACATAGAAAAAACAATATCCCTATACATCATATAATCAATCAAGTTATAGAATTTACTTATTGCGCAACAAAGTCTATTGCTAAAACTCCTAAAGTACAAATTGCTGTCAAATGGATTCCTCCGAAATCAAATTACTAAAAATTAAATACTGATGGAGCAGTCTCTCATCAATCTAGAAATTCTGGCATAGGGGAGCTCATTCAGTATGCTCGAGGAACTTGGATTACGGGTTTGCTGGCAATATCACTACAAAAACCAGCATGGAAGCAGAATTACACGCACTTTTCCGTGGATTACAGTTAGCAATTAAGTTTAATTTGGTTCCACTTGAAGTAAACATTGACGCCTCAGAGGTAATCACAGTTTTAAGAAATGAAAATCTCCTCTACACTAATATCATCTATGATTGCAGGCACCAGCTTCACCAGCTCCATGATTCGCATCCCATACATATGTACAGAGATCAAAATGGGGTAGCAGATAGGTTAGCTAAGCAAGGTTGTACGATGGAGTACTCAGCAACACCAACATTTTTTGTCTCACCACCCATTTTTATTATCGAACAACTAAGAGCACAGATCAATCATGCGCTATAACTCTCCGGAAAGTATCACCCGCTCAAGTATGGCAATCTGTTAGGCTTGACACTCAAATGCCACCTGTTGATTCACATCAGTCGGACTTGTTGATAACAGACATTCACCTTCTGCAACATGCTGCCGCACATGGAGTTACTATAGTAGAAAACTCCCCTTTTTGTAATGATCCTTCGGATCAACACTCCACAATAGATGTTAGTAACAGTTCTACTAGTAGTATTTGTAGTATTAGTACTTTGGTGCATCCCCAACACCAAACTCTTTGTACGAATGCATCTTTATTATTAATATAAGCTTACTAGTTTCTAAACACGCGCATTGCGTGTGAATTCTAACTTACGATGGATTGTAAATGGATTGAACACATAAAATCATTGAGAAAGAAAAATATACTTGACTAACATATAAATGAATATTCTTATATAAAAAAAAGGAAACAATACCTATGACTGACAATGGGTGCCAGGAAACACCACATTGTTAATCAAGCTTTTGAATAATTCAGTGACATCTCAATATAGTAAGTCTGTTTCAGATAGATAGATCTTTCGTCATCACAAAAATATTCCATCTGCATGGATGACACTAGTAAATGGAGTTAAATTGTCAATCCTTGATGTAAGGTTTTTAAGTGGCAACCATCATCAAAGATAACATCACTTAAAGTTAGACTGATCGCTATGGATTATTTGAGTGGCTGACTAACTGTATATAATTAGTGACTTAACCGAGGGAAAAAAAAGATACAAAGTTGAAGTCAAAGAAAGAGATACAATATAGAGAAATGAAAGGGGATTAATGTCCTTGGTAAGATTTTTCGTTTTTATCATTTACTACAACTCTTCGTGACACTCATTTACGATAATTATTTGGCTAACCATTTGTTGAAATTAAAATAAGGGATTAAATGGTATATATTTAAAGACGAATTTTAATAAATTTATTGTTTCATACGTTAATGATGAAGCATAGTCTTTAAGTGAAGGGCAGAATAGTCCTTTGATTTTTATTGGGTAATTTCGTATTTTAACTTTAGACTTGGAGCTTCTGTTTGGAAACGTGTGTTACATGTTTATCCCAAAATACATTAGGTGAAGATTTGAGCCGTAAATGATAAAATGTTAGCCGTACACTTATTTTAGAACTTCGTTGAGCTATAAAATAAAAATTAAAACATACAAAGTTATAGCTAGTTATTTGAAGTCAGAAAAATTTATGAACGTTGATTCTACTTTACACGTGGTACTTTAAATTAAAGACAAATACGTACTCCTGCATTTATAAAACATGCATATAATAAAAACATCTACTTTTTAAATTTACAATTATGTATGAAAAAAAGAAACCAAAATAAACAGACTTCCAATACCATCATGATCAACCCAATGTTTTAGTCATAAGTTCTATGAATCTTCATTCGCCTCAAACACATGAAATTTAAAAAAAAAAAAATGTATAATAAACTTTAAATTCTAATTTAAATTGGTAAAATAAATTCTTCATAGACGAACAAACTTGACAATGAATTTAGCAGTCAAGTTCCTCCAATTAGATGAGAGCTCACAAACCAATCGCATATTGTATAAGACTTTGAATTTGATACTACAAGCGATGCTTACCAATTTTTCATGCCTAATGTTTACCGGTTATATAGTTTTTACTATTACTTAATACATGACTTCTAAAATTAAGCTTCACGAAATGTATGTGTGCATGTGTTAGTATGTGATTCCTTTTTATTTATTTTTTACATACCAATGACTATGATTGTGATAGGACGACTTTGATTCGTAACAAAAAAACTCCTATTTTTATTTATATCGCTTGTTATTTTCTTATTATTATCATGTGAAAAAGATCAAATAATTAATAACTATTGTGATTGATTACTGAAATCGAATTTTTTCTTAGATAACATACACATGAGCTTTTACCTGTACAATTCATGATTCATTAAGTTTTCCTTTTTGATCAATTTTCTTTAAGATTTAAGAGGAAGAAAAACAAATGATACTTGAATAGGGTCAATAAAAGATACTAATCAGGCGTAACTGAAAAGGACACATAAAGAATATAACAGTGGATAATTTATAAAAAAAATAAAGAACACTAAGAGTGATTTATGCAACGAAATTTAGATGAAGAAATCGGTCGATCATTAAAGAAGCAGAGATAACTTGGCAATGAAATATTGATATCAAACTAAGAAGCAAATAAGACAGGATTCCCTCGGAAAAATCATCTGGGTTATTGCGTGTGAACTTCTTTCTTGTTCATACAACATCTAAGTGAAAAGTATTTTGATCAACTCTCAACAAATTTTTCATTTTTGATGTGTAAGGATCCAAAGAAATAAGATGGTCTCTATTGAGTTAGAATTTTAAAAGTTAACATTGAGGGAGCAACAACAAACTGAGTGGACAGTAAATTTTAAAGGTTTTGTAATTCAAGTTTTAACTTAAGAGACCTTCCCACTTTTGATATAGTATAGATGATTGATATCTTTCCTACCCAAAAGAAAGAGAGAAATAAAAAATTGAAGTTCACTTTTTAAATTGCTGCTCAGCGCCAAAATAAGCAAAATAAATGTCCAGTTTTTCAACTGTCCGCCGTCTGCGAGGTATCCTCGCCGTAAACAACCCCACGGCAACCACTAAAACCCCCATTACCTCTTCAAATTCCACCAATCAGACACCCCAAGCAATTGTAAATTTCTTGAAAGAATCATCACAGCACCCTAAGTTCCGACGCGAAGGACGGGTCCATTATGAACTCGCCGTTCACCGCCTTGCAAAAGCCAACTACTTCTCCGGCATCGAAGAAATTATCGAGCATCAAAAGCAGTTCCCAGATGTTCGTAACGAGGCCTTTGTCTCCCGCCTTATACTTCTCTATGGGAAAGCGAAAATGTATCATCACGCACGTAAACTGTTCGACGAAATGCCTCAACTAAATTGTCCACGGACTATCCTTTCCTTCAATGCCCTTTTGGATTCATGCGTTAGGTCAGAGAGATATGATGAAATTGGCGGGTTGTTTCGTGAATTGCCCGCGAAATTGTCGATTGAGCCTAATTTACTGTCTTATAACCTTGCGATTAAGGCGTTGTGTAAGGCTGGTTCTTTCGATTCTGCTGTGCTTTTGATGGATGAGATTGAAAAGAATGGGATTAAGCCGGATACTGTGACTTGTAATACCTTGTTAATCGCACTTTATGAAAGTCAAAGGATTTCTGAAGCTGAAAATTTGTGGGTTGTGATGGAAAACAGAAATATTATCCCTGATCTTTGCAGTTACAATATTAGATTACGAAGTTTGGCTAAAGTTAATGAGGTTTCAAAGGCGATTCAGTTCTTCGAGGAGATCGTTAAGAAGGGTTTCAAACCGGATAGATTCAGTTACAATACTATGATAAAGATGTATATCCATGAGGGGAATTTGGAGGAGGCTAAAATGTGGTACCAGAAGATGCTACAAAATGGATGCCTTCCCGACTATGCAACGTTTAATATGCTTATTCCTTTGGCTTGTGACACGAAAAAATTTGAATTTGCACTCTGCTTGTGCAAGAAAGCTATTGATTCACAAGTAATTGTTAATAGAGATAACATGCAGAGAGTTGTTGATGGCTTAGTTGAGCACTCTAAGATTGAAAATGCAAAGGAGCTGGTTAAGTTGGCCAAGTCTTGTAAGAGATTCCTGTATAAGCTTTCGTTGCCTTCGCATAACTAGTTGTTTCTCATCCCTGTTTCACTTATGATTTAATCTTTTGCCCGTGTACTTGAGCTTATATCAAGCTTGATTGTGCCTTGAAGATGAAGTAATAGAAGGTCTGAGGAAGGCTTGGATGGACTCTGGAAAATTTAGCTTGTATTTAGGTAGAGTTTGTTACATGACTGTTAACATTCAATCATATAGGACGGTTAAACATCAGTTGTAGTTCCTATCTGTTGTGTTTCTCCATCTTTGAGTAGGGGGGCGGAGCTAGCCCATCAGCTACGGGTTCGGCCGAACCCAGTAGCTTTAGTCCAAACCCTGTATTTGTCTTATAAAATTTGTTAAACATGTACTAATTATTGGTTTAGAACCCAGTAACTTAAAAGGATTAGAACTCCGAACCGATAACCTTTAAATTCTGGCTCTGTCTCTTTTTGAGCACCCTCCTATAATTCTTTTGAAATAGTAGTAAACAGCTCGGATGTCATAATTCTCTTGGCTCCTGTATGTCAAAGGAAACATACAACATCGAGACAAGCATTTTTAACGGAGCTGGTGTAGGACTTTGAGACGGGCATTGGTTATTGCTATTCTTGCACAAAACATCTTGGTGCTTCAGAGGTACAGAACTGGAGTTCTTTCATGCGTTGCTCCTTATTGTAATTTGTTTATGCATCTAGCGTTTATTCATGTTTTGTTATTTAGATTAATCTAATTTTAAATTTGTAAAGAAGAAGAAGAAGAAGATGAGAAACCTTAAAATTTGTAACTCATGAAGAATTTGAGATTGAGTTAGACTTGAAATCCATCTTCTTTATAGTTTGCATGGTATTAGAGCAAGACTCATCCCTATTTTTGGTTTAGTCATTGTTGGACCTCCGTTTTTATGTTGCCCACGCTGTAGTAGACATCCAACTCTTGAGTGTCCCATATACATTGAGGGAATAAACTGTTATCTTGGTCTTGGGCAAAAGATAACATTTCCTCGCTTATACTTTCTTTTGAACAAAAGAAAAAGATTAGGAGAAGGAATATAAAGGGGGGAAAAGGGTGCATTTTTACATTGTTTCTTATTATGCTTCAGGTAAAGAAGATTTACCTGCTAGGCTTTCATAGTTTGCCTATTGTACCTCTTGGATCAAAAGTTGCCAGGGGTTTGATTAAATGACAAAGGCAAGACACAGCCACTAGCAAACATTCTCGATAGTTTGTGTCCATATAGGTGTGCTTTACGAGGGCTAGAGGTGTACATAAGTCGGGTTGGTTCGAATTTTTTAATTATCAAACCAAATCAATAGTATCGGGTTTTTAAATCTAAAAAACAAATCAAACCAACAAAGTCGGGCTTTTCAATCTCGATTTTTCTCGGGTTTTTTTTATTTTTTTGGATTTTTGGATTTTTTTCTGGTAAAGCCTTCATATCACAAAATATGTAACTTGTGCTCCAAATATTTCTTTAGTCCTAGAAGGATACAACTATATAATGTATTTTTCAAGAAAATAACACAATAATATGAGATGAGTCATAGCGTTGTATTAAAATATTCAATAACAAAGATAATAAAATTGCATAAAATAAATATTGTTAATTAATAAGCCATAATAAAATGAACATAATCTAAAAGTACTATATAAGTCATGCTAAAATAAGTACATTTAACAAGTACTATTAATTGCATGACTAAGCACTAAAGAAAAAGATAAACTAAATTATGCTTTTCCATTATAAACCAATGCAAAACTAAAAATAAATATCCAACAGTACTGTCATTTCTAGTGTTGAATTGGATTTATTTTGGGGTGAAATTCAAAAATAGCCAGATTTACGAGTGGTAGTTGAAAAATAGCCACAGTTTCAAAAGTAATAAGAAATTTAGCCACTTTTCATGTAAAGATAAATCGTAACGAATACACTGTTCAAAATCTAGAAAATATTCCAGCATAATATACTACAGTTCGACTTTTTTACATGTGAACTTCCAGCATAATATACTGAAGTTGCAGCATAATATGCTGGAACTTTCCTGATTAAGCTACACATGCCAATTTTTTCAGGTTATGCAACAGAATATGAAGATGACACTCAAAGATGTGTCATAGAAGACAGTGGATAATGAAGAGAAAGGCAGTCAAAATTGACATGCCTAGCCAAGCAAATTGTTAACAAATTTTATATAGTCATAGACCAACCAAGCACCCTCGAGGAAGGTGAAAACCCCGTTTCGTGATTACATCTTTTTTCGGTGGTTGGTTACACAAATATATTTTTAAAGAAAAAGTGAAAAACACATTCCAAAAAAGTAGAAAAAATAGTTTTCTTTTTTCCTTTGCAATTCTCACTTCATACACTTGTTTCAATCAACACACATTTTTCTAGATAATTGGTTACACGCAATTATCTTTTAAATAATACGATCACGTGAATATTTTTACGCTGACATTATTGTAACTTAAACTCTTAAAAAATATCACAAAGGGACTGTGGTCAGGATATTTTCTCCCATTTCTGGTCAACAAAGACATCAAGAAAAGGCATGCCAACTATCCGGACAATAAGATTCTTATTTTATTTTATATAAAACAAACTTAATTAAATCAAGTCTATTAGCCTTATCTTATTCCTGTATGATTGCTATTGGATTCTTCATGATCGAGTAATTATTTAGTTTATTAATAAAATAAGGAGGGTCGTCTCTCTTTCTCCTCCTTGACACCAATCATCCTCTTTTATACGGCGGAGTTTGGATTTCGAAAATCAAACGAGTTTTTCTTTGACCGTAATTTTTTCAAATGCTTTTAGATATTTTGAACCGTTAATTATTGTAACTTATAATACTTGTTACGTAGTATCCAAATATATACATTTTATTTCAAAAAACTAAACATTCTATGTCCGAATTTGACTTTCGAAATTCAATCTCCATCACATAAATTGCGATAAAGGTAATATAGCTAATTATAAACTCACAAAGTCAAATCTATGTGTATTTTTAAAAAGTCATATATGTAAAGTAGTATTAGTACTACTTAAATTTGATACCGAAAACTAAATAATCATATAATACCAAGTTTGGTATGACGATTAACTCGGGTTATATTTTAGAAAAATAATATTTTATAATCGCTTTCAAAATAATAGCGATTATTTTGAAAATATGTGTTTTGTATGTATATATATACAATAAATATATAAATTTTATATACTTTTACAGTTATTTAGATAAATAATTTTTAGCACAGGCTAAAAGTGATCTTTGCCTTTATATTACTTGTCATCAAACCAAATTCTCTTTGAATGCAAAAATAAAATTAAAAATAAAATTCTTACCAAAAGCTTTAAGACCCACACCTACCGACTCTGTTAAATACGTGCCTCAAAACCCTACCCTACTCCGATTTACGCTCTCCTCTTTCTTCTTCCTATAAAAAGTAGGCCGGCCCATAAAAATCCCCACTTGTCTCTCTCATTCTCATTGGTGCCTTTCGTAACTCCGTTTTAACAGTTACCAATAGACCGTCATTCTCGTATTTATAAACGGTTTTCTTCTCCATCGCCTATCATGGCTCAAACTACCAATATCAGCTTTTGAAATATATAAACACTTTTATATTATTCTCAATTTCAATTTTTGTATTAGCAAAATGTGGAGAACTTCGTGTAATTTATTGAAACGTACTGTTACATCAGCGTCTATCAGTTATGGGAAAAGAACATTTCCCATTTCGGTCATGGATGATCGATCCGGGTGTTTTTGCGGGTCGACCCGATTGATGGGTGGGTACTATTTCAGTTCAGTTTCAACAGGGAATGGGGAAAACAAGAATAATGTGAATAATGGTGATTTTATTACGCACGAGGAAGCGAAAAGGCTGATGAGATTGGTGAATGTTGAGGAGCTGAAGTGGAAATTAGGGATGGAAAATACGGAGGTTATTGGGTACAGTGAGCTGTTAAAAGCTTGTGAAAAAATGGGTGTGGCTAAAACGCGTGATGAGGCGGTTGGTTTTGCTAGAGTACTTGATGAAGCTGGTGTCATTTTACTCTTCAGAGATAAAGTTTACCTTCATCCTGATAAGGTAATTTTTTTACTCTTTTATTTTTATCTTTGTGGATGTGTTTTGATTTTCTTTTATGTGTTGTTTTGGGATGTGGGGTAGTGTAAAAAAGGTGTTTGATTGATGATTCTTGTCTAAGATTAACATTGTCTAACTGTAATATCTGAAGAAATCTTGAAAAAGGAGAGATCTTTGGGGAATATTGATTTGGCGTTTGGTTTCATTGGCCTCTATGATGGAGGATAGAATACTGCTAATGCTTTTTGTTTGTTTATGCATAATATTGGCATGAGAAGAGTTGAAATGGAGTAAGTGATTAGTGAGGATTCATATAGCCAACCCAACTTATTTGGAACTGAGGCGTTGTTGTTGTTGTTATTGTTGTTTTGGGAGGTGGGGTAGTGTAAAAAGGTGTTCGATTGACGATTAGTATGTAAGAATTAGAAGCTGTATTATCTAAAGAAATCACGTGAAAAAGGAAAGATCTTTGGGAATTATTGATTTGGCGTGAGGTTTCATTGGCTTCTGAAGCTGAAATATTTGTTTCCCTTTTGGGATTGGGGAATGAGGTTAATATTTGTTTCCCTTTTGGGATTGGGGAATGAGGTTGGGTGCTGTGAGGAGAAACTGTAACATATAAGGGGTAAAGAAACAAAACATACAACCATTGGTATCTGTTAATTATCAACAACCAACATGAAAAACAACAGAGTTTCTCTTGCTTTGCTCAATTGTTCTGCTTTTTCTGCCTGCCTTCATTAATGAAGGCCTATATCCTAAGAGGTAGCTGTTAAACGGTTAATGAATGTTAATTACATCTGGAAAATGGCGTTACTAATTTGGGAAAATGGTGTCAATCAGATGATGTGAGGTTGTATCAGTTAATGTGTTCCGAGTAAGCATGGTTTCCTTATATCAGTCATATTTTGTAGCGGGTTAAAATTTCGTCAACCAGTGTGAATTCCTGCTTTTGATTTGAGAATTCATGAGACACAAAGAAAGGTGAGGGGAAGTCTGGCAGGGGGTTGGCGGTGGTGATTGGAGATTTATGATGTTTGATATGCTGGTTGCGTGCTGAAACTTATTGAATAAGCTTTCAGTAAGCAAGATTATTAGAATTGTGGAGAACAATCCTTAGTTTGGACATTCTTTAACCACCTTATTGCGGACATTGTCTCATTGTACCCGTAATCTGTTCGATTCTCAGTCCATTAGTTGGCGGTGTAAAGATGCCTAGTTTTGCAGGAACATGTCATGTTTGAATTACTTATTTTTCTGAATATGCATAACAGCATGCAATTACTTCTTTTCTAATTTTATGAGTGAGGGAGAGGTAGAAAATCATGAAAAATTTCAACTTTGCTTTCTTTGATCAGAAATTTATTGCTTAATTAATTACCTGATAAAGTAAAAAATGTGTGAGCTTTAAATGCATACCTGGTGGTTTCTGAATATGGATTTGAGAGACATTTCTTAATAAATGTCCATTTCTAGCCAGCCCTCTTAAAACTTTATCACTATGGAAATCTCCAATTTCATTTTCTTCTTTTTTGTTTTCAGGTAGTGGATGAAATTAGAAAGGCAGTTCCCCTTGCACTTCTACCCGATGATGACCCCACGATAGATGAACTAAGGATTCTGCAGGAGACGATGAATAAAATTGATGAGCTTGCACATAAACAAGTGCGTCGCATTTTATGGACTGGGTTAGGAGCTGGCCTTTTGCAAGTCGGTCTCTTCTTCCGTCTAACGTTCTGGGAATTCTCTTGGGATGTGATGGAACCAATTGCTTTTTTCACAACTACTACTGGGATAGTAGTAGGTTATGCTTATTTCCTTGTTACTTCTAGAGATCCGTCATACCAAGATGTGTTGAAGAGGCTCTTCCTCTCAAGGCAGAGGAATCTGATCAAGAAGTATAATTTTGATATTCAGAGGTTTGTGGAATTACAAAAGAAAATCAGAGTACCAGTGAGTACTCGAGCTTCAATGAAACATCGGTTAGGGGTGGAGCTGGAAGCTGAGGATCTTTTACGCGGTCACTAAATCACATTGGTCTCTGATCATCCTCTCTTTGACCCTCAACTTCTCACATAATTATTTCACTAAACTTTTACCTTTCAACCAATGTAAGCCCTTCATTTTCCTAGCGGAGGGTGAATATCTCAGCTGTTGACAATTGTCCCTGCTTTTACCTTGTAATTTGAAGGTTGTATTACTAAACTCTTCTCTTACAACATAGGCTTAGAAAGTAGTTCTAACCATTGCAATTCCTTCAAAGCCTCCTACTCTGAAGTTGTCAGCCTCTCATATATTTTTGAAGCTGTAACTAGATACTGATGCTATATCAATGATTTTGAAATTTTGGTATTTCGACAATAGCCCCTGTTATTTATATAAAAAGTAGGCCAATGACGATTTTACAAGTTCTTTTTGACAAGAATGCCAGGGCTTTACAAGCCCTTATTACAGGGCTTTCGCCATAGTTTAATTTTGTGGGAAATTGTCATCATACAGGTGTTAATTGAACTGTGTGCAGTATTGATGCTTGATATTGATGCTATATCAATGATCTTGAATGTATTGTTCTCTCTACGATAACATCAGTTAATGATACTGACTATAATCCTGCTGGAAGGTTTTATTCGACTTGAATGTCTAGGTCTTTTACAAGTACTTTGCGGAGACCTTTCTTTCATAGTTTCATTTTGTTGGAAATTGTCATCAGACAGTTAATTGATTTCAGTTTCGTGCAGTACAGATAGCGCATAATTTCATGAATCAGCTGCAGTTCGTGGGTTATTGAACTGCTCTACTGACCAGCTTTATAAAGTTTGTTCTGAAAAGCATTAAATTGCACTGATAGTGTAAACAACTTTTATGTTGTCAGTGTATATTACTTAAAATCCTTTTTCATTCAGAGGTTCAAAGCTTGAAGAAACTAGTATATCTGCAGCTTTGGAACATTGCCTTTACTAAATCCCAAGGTGTTGAATTGAAGGCAAATATTGACAGTCTTTTGTTGTCCATACAAGAAAACTATATGTCCAAGTAAGGCAGTTGAAGAACTTCAGTTTCTTGGAGACAGTAGTGATCTGCAGCTTCTGGAAGTAGAAGCAAGGCGTCCGAGGCATTAGCATATGCATTTTGCTCACTCGGCTTCTGGAAATGGAGAAACTCATGGTTCTCGGGGGTGATTGGAGAACCTTCAATCAGAGAGGGTAAGGATAAAGCATCGGATAACTGGGTTTGAAGAGACATTACTTCAGCTAAAGCTTCGTTTAACTCGGATTGTAAGTGAAAGACATGTTTCTGGAGGGCAGAAATGATGCCCACACATCCATAAACTGGATCTCTGAGTCTTGCTGTAGCTTCATAAACCATGCTAATCACTGCATCTTCTCTATTATCCGCTGGTGTCTCCTGCTCAAAATGAATGCCAATATACAAAGCAGAGAAGGTTCATTTCTTGAAGTGTCATTATAACTAGCACTCTTAGCATTATACTAGTACTCCCTTTGTTTCAAAAAGATTGACACTATTTCCTTATTAGTCTCTTTAAAAAAGATTGACACCTTTCAATATTTCCTTGATAAGAAACATTTATAGCCACACAAGTGCTACGACAAGTTTCAAAAGTTTTACAGCCACACAAATGCTATGGCTTATTTAAGACCATATATCTCAAAAGTCTTCAGTTCTTTATTAAAGTTTGTGTCAAATTAAACTAAGACAATCTTTTTGAAACGGGGGAGTATTAATTATATGGATTTAACTTAGATACACTTGGCGTTTATAGATGCAATATTTAACCTATTATATCATGTTGTCTGCCTTTTTTTTTCTTCCCTCGTAACTACTTTCACTTATTCTAGATATATTTAGTCTTTTAAGTGACCTGATTGATTAAAGAAAATTTTCCACTGTTAATCTTTAGAACTTAAATCTAATTATATTATGACAAGAGTGGGTTGCTTAAATGGTGAGCACCCTTTGTCGAAAAATTACACGGTATATATATGTAAAATATTAGATATTTGACGTATATAACATATATTGAACACTCTTTGTCAGGATTTTTTTTTTTTACTTTTTTCAAGTCTGAACCCCCTTTGGGAATTTTCTGGCTTCGTCACTGGTTGCTTGTGCTGATAGTCTGGTACGATGTAGTAGACAGCCATTAAAAAAAAGTAAAAACATATGAATTACTTACTTGTAAAATTTTGTTGATGTTGCTAGCACCAAAAATGCGATGAACAGCAATAAACTTTTGTGGTTCAGCAGAAGGAAAGTGAGGCAAGAAAATGCAATCCTGAGTGCAGCGTCTACGAAGAAACTTACATGCTGAACATGGCATATGTTTGTTCTTCTTGCTTGTAGAACTCATGAGAAAAAATAAATTAAAGCAGTTGCTTTGGTATTTATTTTTGTTTTTGTTTGAAATTAAAGCAAATGAGCTTACTTAACTGAGTATTTAAGGGCACACATTAAAGTAAAACATGGGGTCTAGCAAATTAAAAAGGGGTCCAAAAGAATTAGCTGGAGAAAAGAAAAATCTTTAGACATCTTAATAGTAAGATCTTGGAGGTTGTAATAACACTATTATCATCTCCCCTTGTCATTTTCATGGGGGGAAATTCATTGAACAAAATGGAAACTATGTCAGTGCACTAAGCGCGAGGTCTGGGAAAGGGCCGAATCACAAGGGTCTATCGTATGTAGTCTTACCCTGCATTTTTACAAGAGCCTGTTTCCACGACTCAAACTCAAAACCTCTTGATCACATGACAACTTTACCAGTTACCCCAAGACTCACCTTCAAAATGGAAACTACATTAATTGCTTGTAATTGCAACTCAACACTAATATATGAGTGATATATCTTGAGTGTAACTTGTATAAATGGGTAGTGCCTAGTGGTGAAAAAATGTAATAACTATCACGATTCAGGTCACATTTACTTATTGTACCAGGTGGTCTGCCGTATTATCAAAGATTTACAATCCTTCTGTTTATAGATGGTTATTTATAGATATTTCTTGTATGACCTGATACTGTAATTTTTTATATATTCAGTGTATATATATAAAAATTAAACTAATACATCTTTCTTCTTATTGTGTAGATAATTCGATGATTAAGAGCCTAGTGATATTGAAGTAGGACAAAAAAGCTTCACACGTGAGGGTCCATAAATAATTAGGTAATGATATGATGATTAGTGAATGTGACATTGACAATATATCTGAAAGACGTTTGAGACAATATATTTGACAAAACAAGATTCGAGCCCGTTTGGAAGCGCTTATTTTAAGTGACTTTTAACCATAAGTCATAAGATGAAAATTTTAGTTTTCGGCTTATTTTTGTCAATTTAGCTAAAAACACAAGTGTTTAAAAATACTATTTTACTTTATCCAAGTACTACAAAATGGTTTAAAAATTATTTTGGCTTAAATACACTTAAAATAAATCAATCCAAACGGACTGTTTATATGGAGACGACCCCATTTCATCAGGGAAATATATCGATCTTTCTGCCACTTTAATTTGAGTAACTCTACCTTTTATCACAATTTGGCTCATATACATAAGTTTGCAATTAGGGCAATGAGATTAATCTAAGACTTTACTTCTTTCTCAAATTGATGTTTACTTCGTTTTACTTTTTAAGTAGAGTCAGATATGGAATCACTTGTATTGTATTGTATAGCGTAGTATTATTTTTGCAATCTAATACTAGTAGATATTATTACAATTATATAAAGGCCCTATAAGGATTAGCTGAGTTGGTTAGGTGAGTGGTTTCCACATGAGAGATCTGGGATCGATTCCCCTCACCAGCAGTCTCCTCAGTCAGAACTCGCCGCACCGGGCTCACTACTAAAAAAATCTGATTTTAGCGACGGACAAATTCTATAGCTAAATAGAAAAATCTGTCGCTAATCTCATTTAGCGACGGATTGGCGACAGATTATCAAGAAATTCTTAGTGACAGATTAGTGACGACGTTCGTAGCTAATTTATTTATTTATTTTTTTTTATGGCTTGTCTAGTGCGGTTTACATTTTCTGTGTGGTTTCCCTCGGAATTTTCTAGAAAAAAAAACTATACAAAGGCTGTGATAGAGAGAGCTACTCCACCGACAGTTTCTATGCATTATTCTTTGTTAAAATTTGCAAGCAACACCTTACCACCTTAAGAAGTTGGATATAATAAAGAGAAGACAATTCTTCTACCTTCATGTTTTCCCTTCATTTTTTCTAACTGCAAGATGTTCATTTTCTTGCTAAATACATGCACTGCAGTTTAAACATTCAAAATACTGCAACTATTTGAGTAAGTAAAACGTTAAAAAATCTAATAAATATGTCTTCTATTCAAATAATGAACAAACTTATGTCTTGTTTTGTAAAATGGAGCATATAATATTCCTTCCTAGGTTTAAGTTAGGTCTCATGTCCCCTCTTGATTTGCTATAATTTTTTCTTACTGTTATCATTATTAAGACAAACTCGCCACATAAATTTAGACGGAAGGAGTATATATTTTGATTTTTATTAGGCTGCTTGTTGTCAATATTAGGCTGCACTCTTATAAAAGGTTTCAATGTCTACACCAAAAGTTATTGGCATCACAGAGTGACCACACTGGAACATACACCAATAATATTATCTATAAAAGAACTATAGGTATGATATTAATATATCACATGCTTACACCTAATAACATCAAAATTTAACTCATTATAAATTTTACCTACCTTACTAAATTTAGTTGTTCAATTGCAGGCTCATATGCTATGCAATCTAATCATTTGTCGTTTGACAATCAAGCCATTCGAATAGGTTAATTTTCCTTCATTAATTTCAGCTTGTTTTTTTTCCTTCAAATTTACTTTTACTCATTATCCTATTGTTTTAATATAATTTATATTATCTATAACTATTTGACATGTAAAACACGTACAACGCACGTGTCCATAGACTAATACAACTATAAAAGAATACTTGTGGGGCATAAAGCAAAAAAGAAGAATAGGAGATCTATTGATACTGCAAATAGCATAAGATGACAAAAAATTTGTTCCACTTCTGGACAATTTCGCATAGCATGAGGATTAATGACAGCAGGAACATACGGATGCAAGAAAGAGGAGTCTATTACTCAAATGGTCATTCAACTACCTTAAATTATCTCCTAATGTCACTTTACTTTCGTTTGTAACAACAAAGTCACTGAACTATGCCTATTTCACTCAGAAGGTCACTCAACTAGATTTTCTTAGATTGCCAAATACCTATTTTACCCTCTAAATTATAAACATTTATCTTCTTTTTATAATTTTTAAACTTTTTAATATTATGATTTTCTCTTTTTTAATTTATATTATGGACTTACCTATAGAATAAATAAATATTATTTATAAATTAAAAAAATAAAAAGTATTTAAGCATATATAATGCTGGAATAACAAAATAATGAGCATAGTAAAAAAATATTAATTAGAATAATTTGTTAGTAATAGTAATTTTAGTATTAACAATAAAAATTCAAAAATTTATTTATACAATTCAGAATAAAAAATAAAGGTTGTAAAATATATATTCCATGCACGTAATATAAAAATAATTATTTAAGTAAAGGTATTTTTATAATATACATTATATTCTTGAAAATTATGCCCAATTATATCATTATGTTTCTACCAACTTTCCGACGACACAAAATTATGTTACCGGAAAGCAGGGACTATCTGTATAGGGTAAAATATGCTATATTAAGTTGTGCATGGAATATATATAATATAATTGAGCATAATTTTCAAGAATATATAATTTATATTATAAAATATTTTTATTTCAATAATTATTTTTATATTATGTGCATGAAATATATATTTTATAACCTTTATTTTCTTTCATTCTGAATTGTGTAAATAAATTTTTGAATTTTTGTTGTTAATACTAAAATTATTGTTACAAACAAATTAGTCTAATTAATTTTTTTTATTATGCTCATTATTGTTATTCCAGCATTATAGATGCTTAAATACTTTTTATTTTTTTAATTAATAAATAATATTTATTTATTCTATAGGTAAGTCCATGATATAAATTAAAATGAAAAAATTATAATATTAAAAAGTTTAAAAAATAAATAAAAGAAGATATAATTTAGAGGGTAAAATAGGTATTTGGCAATCCGAAATTTGGAAAATATAGTTGAGTGACCTTCTGAGTGCAATAGGCATAGTTCAAAGTGACTTTAGGAGATAATTTGAGATAGTTAATTGACCATATAAGTAATTGACTCCAAAAAAGAGCAAGTTCTCTTGACCCATCCTTTTGCATTTCCATAGAGTGTATTGTGGAACTATATATAAGTTCAATAACAAAAAAAAAAAAAAAAAT